TGGGGTTTCACCGTTGTTAGCCAGGATGGTCTCGATCTCCTGACCTCGTGATCCGCCCGTCTCGGCCTCCCAAAGTGCTGGGATTACAGACTTGAGCTACCGTGCCCGGCCTTTTTTTTGTTTTAGTAGAGATGGGATTTCACCATGTTGGCCAGGCTGGTTTCGAACTCCTGACCTCAGGTGATATGCCCACCACAGCCTCACATAGTGCTGGGATGACAGGCGTAAGAGTAAACATTTTTAAATTGGCCTCTCATTTAGACAATAAGGCAGGATCCCTGAAAAATCTCCCTTCAAAGCAACTGTTGCTAAATAACTGTAGCTATGCTAGCGCAAATTTTCTTTTCTCTTGACCTCAATAATGACTACATAAGTGCAAATTTTAAATATGTAGCTTAAAAATCCAAGGGTCACACTATTTAGGACAGAACAGATTCCACAGTGTAGTTTGTGTTACATGCTTTACTGGCTGTCACTATGGATAGCACACTATTTCTTTGCTCTCCTTATTCTCCCAATACACCCTAAGAGCTACCTTCTCTGTCCTATTCCCCAAAACACAAAGTCCTGTTCATAAAGTCGAAAAAGGGCTGCTCTTACTCGGAAAGGGCTGAGAGATAATCTGGTTTTTCACCACAATGTGAGGGATTTGTGATTTAATTTGAACAGCTTCCCGAGAGAGCTGTGCAAAAATTTCTTTACATAAGAGAACATTCTGTGCCGCTTCTAATTTTGTCTGCCAATGTGGGGAACCTGAAAGACAAGAAATATATGTATCAATTATCTAACCATATTATGCATTAACTAGTTTAAATGGTGATCTGAATACATATGACAAAAGTTTAGAAAAACACTACATTACAGTATATTCTTTTTTTTCTATTCAGTCTCTATAGAGACTGTCAAAAATTGCCAATGCCAACTGTTACAAATCATCCCAGCAGGGTATTGAGAAGTTCCCTGCCACCCCAAGCTTTCATTCCTGAAGAAGTTGTTTCAATTCCTGAAGAGGGATTAGCAATAATCATGCCACAGATAAACCTCATTGGATATGATACTACCACTGTGCAAAGCTATATTCTTTCCAAATTATAAAAATCTCACTTCTTTAACAGAGAAAACCAGTAAATAAGTCCAATCTTTAAAAAAAAAAGTTGCCGGTGGCTCACGTCCTTAATCCTAGCACTTTGGGAGGCTGAGATGGGTGGATCACCTGAGGCTGGGTGTTCAAGACCAGCCTGACCAACATGGAGAAACCCCATCTCTACTAAAAATACAAAATTAGCCAGGCATGTGGTGCATGCCTGTAATTCCAACTACTTGGGAGGCTGAGACAGGAGAATCGCTTGAACCTGGGAGGTGGAGGTTGCAATGAGCCGAGATCGTGCTACTGCTCTCTAGCCTGGGCAACAGGAGAGAAACTCGGTCTAAAAAAAAAAAAAAACTGCACAGCCATTCACTAATGGTTTATTGACAAATTTTAGAAGTACACTTTGAATTGTTCTTACTTCAAAATATCTATTTTTCCTACCTATATTTATCTTCAGTTTATTTTAAAACGTCAGCTCAAATAAGACCAGAAATTAGAGGATAGAACATAACCATACCTGGTTTGGATTTGGGCAAAGGTCGTTTGAAGAGGTTAACGGTGCCAAGGTCGCCTATATCTGGAGCCTGTTTTTGTATTGAAACCTACATGACAACAAAAACAAAAAGGGTTAACAAATTAACTTCAGGCTATTCATAAGAAATTACTTGAAAAATATTTTGACAAATACCTTGATATATGCAGACCCCTCTAAATCACTCGGAATTTGGACATCAAGAGGACAGTAATCTTCAGGTATCTTTTTATCCAGATCAAGATCTGTATTCTTTATTACTTCAAATGTACCGTGATGAGGAAAGAGAGATCCTAATGTTGTATGAAAAATAGGAAAATAAAAAACAGTTACCATATTATTCTGACACACATTATTAACTATATAATACTTGACATCCACATCACTGAATCACAAAGTTCCCACTAAAAAACATGTTTTGGGGGAAAGGGTGAGGAGTGGTGAGCAAAGGAAAGAAAGATAACAGTGTTGGGAGGGTAAGTTATTTACCTTAAAAAAATAACACTTCTTAGTCCAATGACATCATTATAATAAGAATTCCACAGAAAATCCAAATTGTTTTATTCTAATGGAGTATTGATAAAAATGGGTGTACTCACAGGGCGAGTGCAGTGGCTCACGCCTGTAATCCCAGCACTTTGGGAGGCCGAGGTGGGCGGATCACCTGAGGTCAGGAGTTCAAGACCAGCCATGACCAACATGGAGAAACCCCCGTCTCTACTAAAAATACAAAATTAGCCAGGTATGGTGGCGCATGCCTGTAATCCCAGCTACTCGGGAGGCTAAGGCAGGAGAATTGCTTGAACCCAGGAGACGGAGGTTGCGGTGAGCTGAGATCGCACCACTGCACTCCAGCCTGGGCAACAAGAGCGAAACTCTCTCTCAAAAAAAAAAAAAAAAGAAAAAAAAAAAAGGGTGTACTCCTAGAAAACAATCCCTCAGACTGAAACCTAGGGGATGAAATACTTCTGGAGCTTAGCCTCTCTACTAAGATTTCAACTAAGTGCTCTGCATCCAACAAACAGAAAGACAGAGGATAGTGCACATAGCAACTTTTTTTCAACCAGTCTCCTAGATTTTTTATTTTATTTTTTATTATCTTTTTAGAGACAGGGTCTCCCTCTGTCTCCCAGGCTGCAGTGTGGTGGTACAATGACAGCTCACTGTAGCCTCAAACTCCTAGGATTTAACAATCCTACCACTTCAGCCTCCGAAGTAACTAGGACTGCAGGTACATGCCCATCACACCCAGCTAATTTTTATTTATTTATTTTTTTTAGATATAGGGTCTATGTTGTCTAGTCTGGTCTTGAACTCCTGGGCTCAAGCAATCCTCCCACCTTGGCCTCCCCAAGTGCTGAGATTACAGGCGTGAGCCACTGTGCCCAGCCCAGTTCCTAGATCTTACGTGATGTGTTTTTGTGTAGTTCAGAAATTTGGGTGAGTTGCTCTGGGCCACTGAATTATGTAAGAAATAGATGGTTCAATGTAACTGGTTTTATAACAAGGGAAGATGCTAAAGATTTTCTTGCAATTAAAAACAATGTGATCGAATCCTTTCATAATCACGAGTGACTATCCCAAAGAAAGAATTAAAGTTCCTATACACAAATTATTTGTGGAAAAGAAAATATCCAAAACAAGAAAGCACTGCTTCTACAGACCACCTATTAAAATTTTTAAATGGTCTTGTCATCTTTAATTCATCTTTATGATGAAATTTAACCTTCAGGATTCAAAATAGCCCAATTAATAATAGTGTTGAAGCATGTCATTCCTCCACTATTTGACTTAACCACCTTAACTTACCTTTTTTTAATTTTAGGATAATGACAGCTTACTCTGGCAAATGAATCTTGCAGATATCACTCTACCATTATCTCAACTATCCAAGCCAAGACTCCTTGCCTCCTCCCCTGATATTCACAGCTTTTACCCCATTGAGCTATGAAGTTTTTCCATATAGCCAGTCCCTCTGACTGCCTCAGCAGCTTGTAAAACATTGCCACTATTACCCTGTAAAACCTACTATTTGTTATAGCTCAACAACTAAGAATTTATATCAAAAAATATGAAGTCAACATCATCAAACTTTAGTATGCCCCCAAAAGTTGCATGCCCTAAGTTAGTGTTGTAGCCCTAGTTTGATGGGAAAAAGGAAAGCAAACGTTTCTGCCACCCTTTCTCTTCACTCAGGACATAAAAACAGCTTAGCAGATTTATGAGAAAAGAAACAGTAACGAATAGAAAGTTTCTTTCCTCCTTTCATGTCCAGTTTTTTTTGTTTGTTTAATAATCAGAAGAACACTTGCAGCAGGTCCAGTTTTTTTGTTTGTTTGTTTTTTGAGAGAAGGTCAGGCTGCAATGCAGTGCTGCAATCTCGGCTCACTGCAGCCTCGACTTCCTGGGCTCAAGGGATCATCCTGCCTCAGCCTCCTGAGTAGCTGGGACTAACAGGCATGCAACACCATGCCCAGCTAATTTTTGTATTTTTTGTAGAGATGAAGTTTTGCCATGTTGCCCAGGCTGGTATTGAATTCCTGAGCCCAAGCAATCTGTCCACTTCAGCCTCCCAAAGTGCTAGGATTACAGGTGTGAGGCACTGCACCCGGTCATGTTCAGTTTTTAAGGGTTACAGGTAAGGCCTTGATTGAGGAGTGTAGTTCTACCTCATTTCTAACAAAAAAGTCAATTATGCTTCAAGGTGTGCCAGCACATAAACCCCATCTTTGAACTTTCTGTTAAGTGTACCTACAAGGTTTTGAAATAGAAACTAGGCTATTTATTATAAGGCTCTAATAAGAGTGGTTTTGGCTTAAATGAACAGAAATTAAAATTTTGAAACATAACACATAGCTGAGAAATAATATATTATAGAAGGATGTTTAACATTATACTTACACAGAAAGCATAGTTTTTTGTTTGTTTTTGAGATGGAGTCTCACTCTGTCCCCCAGGCTGGAGTGCAATGGTGCGATCTTGGCTCATTACAACCTCCACCTCCTGGGTTCAAGCAATTCTCGTGCCTCAGCCTCCCAAGTAGCTAGGATTACAGGTGCGTGCTACCACGTCTGGCTAATTTTTTGCATTTTTGGTAGAGACGGAGTTTTGCCATGTTGCCTGGGCTCGTCTTGAACTCCTGGCCTCAAGTGATCCACGCACCTTGGCCTTCCAAAGTGCTAGGATTACAGGCATGAGCCACTGCGCCTGGCCAGAAAGTATAGTTTTTAATAATATTCATACCTGCACTTCTGTAGCTCAGATCTCCAAGAATTTTATCTCCAACTTTTCGAAGTTTCCAGTGTTGCCGTAATCGCAAAAGCTCAGAATTGAAGTCTCTTTGTAGCTTGTTTTCTTGGTTTTCGGTAACTGATTTAGTCAGTCTCTCTGCCCCCTTCAATAGGATTTGTGCTGCTCCAGCAAGTGACTTCTTTTTAGATATCAACTGCAACGTCTGAGGATTCTATCAAAAACAACGCAAACATGCAGTTCTGCAGGATTTTTAAATGACTCTAATATTACATATTTTATCAATAATAAAATGAAGTGAAAGAAGAGCAAAAAAGAGGGGCAAGTACACATAACAGTGGTTTTTATAAAATAACCTTAACCTATTTATTTGTTCAACTCACCCAAAGCTTTACTTATGTTAAATCAAAAACAATACAATGGCCTCTAGCGAGAACTTACCATTGCATCAACTTTGCCCAGCCTGTTAGGGTCCCCTCCTAATGTACTGCCATTCCTCTCCTTATATATTGCCGCCCCCCTATCCTGTACATATACATATAGAGTTATATATAACCTTTTTGGCACTCATTATACTTCTGATTAACATCTATAATCTCTGCTTCAATGTAACCTGCATTGGCAGAAACCGCTATATCCACAAACCCTAGAACAATGCCTGGCATATAATATTTGATTTAATGAATGAATGAATGACTGCAATGGGTATAACTGTAAAATTATCTTGTATTTTGTAGCTTACCATAGTTTGTATCTTACCATAAGCTATTAAAGTGCTTTTGGAATTAAGACTAAAATCACGAGGCATTACCTTTTTTTCTTTTGAGATGGAGTCTTGTTCTGTTGCCCAGGCTAGAATGTAGTAGGACCATCTTGGCTCACCATAGCCTTGACCTACTGGCTCAAGCGACCCTCCCGCTTCAGCTTCCTGAGAAACTGGGACTCCAGATGCGCAACACCAAGCCTGGCTTGTTTTGTTTTTTGTTTTGGTAGAGACAGGGTCTCGCTATGTTGCCTGGGATAGTCTCAAACTCCTGGCCTCCTGGTTTGGCTCCCCAAAGTGTTGGAATTACAGGCATTAGCCACTGCACCCTGCCATTGTTAATATTAAATGTACTTCACTGAATCCTAATTTTTTGGAAAACTGATCAGAAATCAAAATCTACGTATCATATATACATACATAAATACCCACCATTACCATAATTTGTGTATTTTACTAACCAGTTTAATAAAGTTTTCTGGCTGTATGAGCGTCAAAAATCACATAAAAAGCTTCACAAAAATATCAAAATAATCTTTTGATCATATTGAGGAATGTAAATAAAAGAGTTCCTGGAGATCTTAAGAAATTCCTGGAGTGTCCTTTCTGGGAAAAGCACAGAATAGTAGAAAAGGCAGTGGGGCTATGAGTTAGATGCTGGAGTTCTAGTCTTGGCTCTCTAACTACTGGCTTGACAGCAACTTGAACATATTACAAATCTCTTTAAGCTTTAGTTTTCTCTCTGTAAAATGAAGACAGCCGATTTAGGGAACTCTATTAGTCCCTTAGCACAATGTTTCTAGATTCTGAAACTATTACTATGTGAGTAATTCTATTCAATTAATTGTATTTACAAATGGGTTCTAACAGTCATTACTTCCTCTCCATGACTAATTTGGTTATGGTCCTGACACTTGTTTTCCTTAAGGACCCACGCAGCCTCAATGATTTCAGACTATTCACCAACTCCTCTTTCTGCTGCTTCTCTTTCATCTTCAAATGTTCAAAAATGGAATATATTGTTTATGAAATATCAGCAATTCTACCCAGCTCTCAATATGCTCCATAATTTGGCCTAACCTTTCTAATCCATCCCCTAAAAAAAAAAGGAAGGATTAGATGGAAAAACAGGGACTTAGAGACAATAACTTCTTAATTTAAGGTCACACAGTTAATGAAGGCAGAGGCAGGACTTGAATCCAGGTCTACCTGATTCCAAAGCCATTATATCATCACATTTTTGTGTAATATATCACAGACCAAGGATCCAGGCTATAAGAATTTGTTAAGATTTGGTAACCTTTAAAGTATTACTTCTTTTTTTTTTTTTTTTGAAACGGAGTCTTCCTCTGTCACCCAGGCTGGAGCGCAGTGGCGCAGTCTCGGCTCACTGCAACCTCCACCTCCCGGGTTCAAGCAATTCTCCTGCCTCCACCTCCTGAGTAGCTGGGGCTACAGGTGCCCGCCACCATGCCTGGCTAAATTTTGCTATTTTTAGTAGAGACAGGGTTTCACGGTTTTAGCCAGGATGGTCTCTATCTCCTGACTTCGTGATCTGCCCACCTCAGCCTCCCAAAGTGCTGGGATTACACGCGTGAGTCACCATGCCTGGCCTTAAAAGTATTACATTCTTAACGAACCTTAACTCTTCCAAGAATCACAGGTATATAACACAAAAATAAAGGAAATGCAGTTGTATGGTTTTGTTTTAGACCAGTTAGTCTTTAAGTCTTCATCTGGACTTAATTTTGCAAGAAAGGAAAATGGAACAATACGCACAAAGCCAAAAAAGGGTCCTGGGATTTAATAAATAAAATTTTATTATTCAATTAAAGTCCACAAATACCTGTTTTGGAGGAAGTGCATCCTGAGAGACAGGATCAAGAGTCATAAATTTTTTATCCCTAACAATACTGAGAACGTCATAGAGAACACACATTTCTGTCAGGGCACTTCTCAAATTGTTCCTCACTGAGTCCCAAGGCCAAAGGGAAGGTTGAAATTTTACCACTCCTAAAAAGAGAGAGAGAGAAAAAAAGAAATACAGAAGTATTCATTACATTGAATGGCAGACAGCTCACTTAGTTTTAAAAAGTACTAAAAGGAGAAATAATGAATTTAATTTCAAATTGTTCTCTTACTTATCCCATCCCCTCCACCCTTTCTTATATCTTTGTTAACATTCACATTAGCATTCCTACAATTGCAAAATGAATGACATCTATTTTCACAGGTTAAATTTATCATTACAACATTATAGACTCAAGTATCTTTCCAAATTTATGTAAACCTTTTTAATAATCTTCTTACAGTTTTTAGAACTTGAATTTACAATTGTATACATTTTCCAAAATACAGAAAGGTACAAAATGAAAATGACCTGTAATGCCAGCCACTATTAGCATATCTTCCTTTTAACCATTAAAAAAACATATTGTTATTAAATACATGAACATTCACCATAAAGAGTTCACACGATAAAGAATTAGAGGGTAAAAAGTGAAAGTTTTCCTTCATTCCCCACCCCGATTCCCCTCCTGAGAGGTAACCACTATTAACAGACGGAGTATACTCTTTCAAAGGTTTTTCTATGCACTTACATACATTTCCAATTTTCTATTACTTGCTTTTTGCCCCGCCCTCACTTAATATTTCCTAGAGACACTTCCATGTTAGCACTTACAAGTCTACCTAATTCTTTTAACACTGTATGATATTCTGGAACATGGATGTACGGTATGTTTAACCATTTGTATTTAATGGACATGTAGATTGCTTCCAACAACGCTAGCAGTGGTAAACACCTTGAATATATACCCTGTATACGTGCACCTTTTTCTGCAGGTTCAATTTTTAGATGTGGTAATAGTGAATCAAAGAAGATACACATTTAGAAGTTTCGGCTGGGCGCAGTGGCTCAGGCCTGTAATCCCAGCGCTCTGGGAGGCTGAGGCAGGGTGGATCACCTGAGATTACGTCTTTAAGACCAGCCTGGCCAACATGGTGAAACCCTATCTCTACTAAAAATACAAAAATTAGCCAGGCAGGGTGCCGCATGTCTATAGTCCCAGATACTAGGGAAGCTGAGGTGGAAGAATCCTTGGAATCCAGGATGCAGGGGTTGCAATGAGCCGAGATCGCACCACTGCACTCCAGTCGGCGGCAGAGCAAGACTCCGTCTCAAAAAAAACAAAACAAACAAAGTTAAAATTAAATTTTGGCACATACTAAACTGCCGGATTGTCTTTCAAAATCACTATCAGTTCACATTCCTAACCGTGAATATTAACAATCTTTTCAATTTCTGCCAATTTTGTGCATGGAAAGAGTATCTTCATCATGTTTTAATTTACCAGTCCCTACTAACGAGATTGAGTCTATGTTTTGTTTATTGATATCTGAAGTCTCTCCTCTATGAGCTATTTATATCTTTGGCCCATTTTTCCAGGGTCATCATTTTCTTTTCAGTTTGAAGGGACTTTTTGAATACAGAAGATATCAACTAAATGTGTGTTATATGGGTAGAACTTCTCCCAGTCTGTCATTTATCTTTTTACTTTGCTTAAGGCATCTTTTCCCATTGTTTTTAAATTTTATGTAAGTAATACATCTATCGTTTATAAAGTAGGTGGGTGAGTGTGTGGTTGTGTGTGTGGCTGTTAGGGTCTTGTTCTGTTACCCAGGCTGGAGTGCGGTGGCACAATCATAGCTCACTGCAGCCTTGATCTCACTGGCTCAATCCATTCTCCTCCTTCAGCCTCCCCAGTAGCTGGGACCACAGACGTGCACCACCACGCCCAGCAAATGTTTTTTAATTTGTAGAGACAGGAGCTCCCTATGTTGCTCAGGCTGGTCTTGAACTCCTGGACTCCAGCGATCCTTCCATCTTGGACTCCCAAAATGTTGGGACTACAGGTGTGAGCTACCATGCCTGACTCGTTGTTTCCTAAATTAAGAAGATCTATCCTGCTCCCAGAATAATACAACTATTCTTTCATTATTTAACACTTTGTTTTGCTTTCTTCATTTGGCACCTCAATCCTCAAAAATTATTGTGGAAATAATTTTTGTGTGAGGTATAAAGTAGTATTTACGTTTTTCTGCAAATGGACTCCTAATAATCCTAACAGCACTGCCCTGAAAAAACATCTTTAAATTCCCATTTACACCGAGTCTGCTGCATAATTAAATTAAGAATTGTGATTTTTTTTTTTTCCAAAAATCCTTGACAATAATGAGAATCTGAAACCCACTCATTGTTTCTTCACTTCCCTCCTAACCAGCCTCCTTCCTTCCAGTTTTGCTTTCCCTATAATTCATTTACTGGAAAGCATCTGGAGTAACCTTTAACAAAATCATGTCTCTACTTATCCTGTGAAAGTTTGCAGTGGTCTCAACATTAGTCAAACGCTTATCATGGCCTACTGGGCTCTACAGGATCTGGACCCGCCTACCTCTTGGACCTCGTCACACATGCCAGTCAACATTGACTTCTTTTCTGTAGGTGCTACTATCATCATCCACACCGCACAAGGATGCAAAGTAACTCGCCAAAGGTCACGCAGCCGGCAAGGGGCACTAAGTGAGCCACATTAAAGGCCTTCTACAGAGAAGCATTCATTTAAACATTTCACCGTTTGACAGTGTCTCAAACGCTCCCACTCAAGGAGGCCCGCAGGAGTACTGCGTAAAGTCGTGTCCTAACTTGGCCGGCAGCAACAAAAAGATGACGACCAGTATCCTTACGCTTCCACTCGTGGGACACTCAAAAGTTCTCGCACGCACAGGATCTCCCCCACCGAGGAAGAGGAGGAGGGCAGCCACCCGGGCGGGTGCTGGGACCCAGACCGGAGGACTCGGGCAGCGGATGCAGGCTTTACCTTCCTCGTCGTCCTGGTCTGCGCTGGACCCGGCGCCCGGCCAGTCCTGCGCGTCGCCCTCGGTCCCCGCCGCCTCCTCCTCCTCGGAGCCCGAACCCTGGCTGAAGTCGATCCGCTGGGCTAGACGAGCCAGATTCTGCGACATGGACAGCGGCGGCAGGTACGTCTCGGTGCCATCGAGGCCCACCTCATGGACCTGCTTCTCGCAGGCCGATTCGATGCTGATCCGCACTGCGCGCACCCCGGACATGCTGGCGGCGTCGGCCAGCGGTGGGAGGACCCCCACACAAGCCAAAAAACGAGGTACGGAGAGGAGGCCTCCCAGCGAAGAGCCGGGAATCCAGCACCCCGGAGCCGCGGTGCCTCAGAAGACCCTCAGGAAACCGAAAGCAACGCTCAGGCTGGAAACAAAAGAGCTGGCCCAGCAACTTTCCCAGAACGCACTGCAGGCTCCCCTCCCGGCGTCTTTCGGAGCAAAACTGGGCAGGCGCGGAAGCTCCTGGACTCCCGAGAGCGCTTCCGGTGAATCACCATGCAGGGTGCGGTAAACTTCCCGGCCCATAAGAGGCGTGGCCGGCAGCGGGAGGCAAAGACCGGTTCAGGAGCCAAGACTGGCTCTCTGTTTTTAAGCCTGCCTTTGTTTAAAAAGGGGATGAGGAAAGAAAGCCTACAGAGGCGAAAAGAGTCAAGGAAAAAGAAATTAGTGGATGCTTGTATCTTAGCAATGAGAGTCCTGTTGAAAGAACTGAGATCTGATGGCGCGCGCCTGTGGTCCCAGCTACGCGGGTGGCTGAGGCGGGAGGATCGCTTGAGCCCAGGAGATGGAGGCTGCAGTGAGCCGAGATCTCACCACTGCCTAGGCAACAGAGTGGGATCCCTTCTCAAAACGAAAGTTTTTTTAAATTAGTAAGAAACTTTTTAAAGACTATCTGAAGAGTTAGAAATTAACGGCATGGCTTGGGGGAAACAATTGTGCTTATCACCACTTAAAATTATACTAATTATTTGGTTTCATGTTAGTTATAACTCTATGACAGCCAATATTTGCAGCAGACATAATAGGCTCTGGCATGTAATAAGTACTTAATATTTATTTTATGCCCGAGTAACAATAAATAATGTTGATCTCACTTTTTTATTAGTGATGGGGTCCCGCTGTGTTGCCCAGGCTGAGTGCAGTGGTTATTCACAAGTGCTATCAGCACACTACAGGCTGGAGCTCCTGGGCTCAAACGGTGCTCCTGCCTTAGCCTCCTGAGTAGCTGGGACTATAGGAGTGTGTCACCATGCCTGGCCTACAAATAATGTTTAAAAGATTAAGAAGAAGTGGTATAACTTCAGTCTTTGGGTCTCCAAGAATGTATTTCATTAGTAGGAAATCCACAGAAAAAGATGGATTATCTTATATTACAAACCTCTATATTTCATTTAAGGAATTATATATACTGTTTATCGTGAGTGTTGACCAGGTTTTGTTCTGACCAAGATATATCTAGGTTTTGAACTACTTTCCTAAGGTATTTAGGGAAATACAGTTGCCCTGGTGTTAGTCCCTGCTGAAGAAGAAAGCAGATGGCCGTGTGAAGAAGGCGTTGAATTTTCATGAGAGAAACCTATTTCTGGCAAGCTGCACGGTCTGTCGCACAATCATGTTTGAGAACAGTACTTGCTTTTCGTGTAAATTTGTAAAAAAATATTTTTTTAACTTTATTTTAAAATCTGATTAATAGGCACAGTGGCAGTCTAACAGCAGTGCAGACAAAAACAAGACAACAACAAATGAACATGATTCCCAGAATAAGTAACAGCTTTTGCCACCAAGTCTTCAAGATCAAAACTAGCTGCTTAGCCAGTTGTTTAAAGATGTATTGAATCTGAAAGTTTAGTTGTTGAGGTTTTCATATTATCCATTAACATAGACACATTATCTGATTCATCTGGGATACAGACATAACACACAGTTTTTATGATAGTGCAGGTTCGTCCCTGGGCTTCAGTGAGTATGTCAAAAGCCATATGGTTTTGTAATATAGCCTTTTCCGTAAAAGTAACTTTATTGTTTAATAATGGAATACCCATGTAGCTATAGTTTGGGTATAATTGGTTAGGACCTCTATATGCCAAATAACATCTTCAACACTCAGTTGTGGTATGAAGATGGAAGCTAAATGATCATACCAATGGAACACAGAATGAACCCAATGAGATCATAAATAAGGAAAATGTGCAGGTTTTGGCAAAGTACGAACTACTTGACCATATGGTTAAGCATAACCTGAAGAACATCATCCTAACTATCCTGGAAGTAACCATGGCCATAGGTTAGCGCCACATAGCCAAAATGTTCCGTTTGGAGCTAATCAATAAATACATTCAATGGCATGCCAGTCAGTACTTTGTAATATAATGGTGTGAATACATAGTTCTTTGGGTATCCATCCCATATCTCCAGTGCTTTTGGGCCAGATATCTTTGGTATGATTTCTCTGTTCCCAACATAAAGGGGCAAAGTGGCTGGGCACGGTGGTTCATGCCTATAATCCTCCACTTTGGGAGAATGAGGTAGGTGGATCACCTGAGGTCAGGAATTCGAGACCAGTGTGGCCAGGAATTCGAGACCAGTGTTGCCAACATGGTGAAACCCTGTCTCTACTAAAAATACAAAAACTAGCTGGTCGTGGTGGTGCATGCCTGTAATCTCAGGTACTCAGAAGGCTGAGGCAGGAGAATCACTTGAACCCAGGAGGCAGAGATTACAGTGAGCCAAGATCTCACCACTGCACTGCAGCCTGGGCAACAGAGTGAGACTCTGTCTCAAAAAAAAAAAAAAAAAAAAAAGTCGGGGGTTGAGGAGGCAAGGGCAAGGTGACTGAGCTGACAGAAGGAGGGGTAAGCCAGATAAAACCACCCCAAATTTGTGTTGTACCATTCTGAAATCAAGGTGTCTTATCTCTTAATTGGGGCAGTGTCATTGTTTCATTATTTAGTTGGAGCAGTGCCAGCATTAAAGTTAACAACTAGTTTCTTTTACTAAGAAGCTCCTTCCATGCCTTTTACTCTGTAAAGGTTTTTTTTGTTTTGTTTTGTTTTTTGAGATGGAGTCTTGCTCTGTCATCCAGGCTGGAGTGCAGTGGAGTGATCTTGGCTCACTGAAACCTCCACCTCCTAGGTTCAAGTGATTCTCCTGCCTTAGCCTCCTGAGTAGCTGGGACTACAGGTGCACACCACCACAACTGATTAATTTTTGTATTTTTAGTCGAGACAGGGTCTCACCTTGCTGGCCAAGCTGATCTCAAACTCCTGAGCTCAGTCGATCCGCCTGCCTTGGCTTCCCAAAGTGCAGGGATTATAGGCGTGAGATACTGTGCCGGGCCCGTAAAGTATTATTAATAAGATAGTGACGTACTTTATCCTTCATCATTCTAGTGTCAAGCACCATGACTGTTTAACACAAATATATTTCTGATATTCTATGCAGTATCTTCTCTTCTTGGAGCAATATATTTCTCTCCTTGGAGAGAAGATACCCACCAGGAAAGCCAAAACTACTGGAAAGGGGCACGAGACCACATATTCAACCAGCATTTTAAAAAATAATCTATTAGCATAGTCCTAAGCCCATTGCAAAAAGAGATTTGCTTTATGGGCAATAGTTAATGATAGTAGTGCCAATACATGAAAACTAAGGACAAAAAGAAAGAAGTTTAATGGGAGCTTGTAAAGGAAAGTCTTCCCCATGTATTAACATTTGCTAATATTAAGCATTTGTTTAGATACAGCCCTGGTTTGGAGACTTGGGTTTTAGCCACCTACATCAGATGCTATCTTGTTCTAGACCTGTCATTGACTTATTTTGAAACAGAGATCACCTTCTGGGGAAACAGTCCCTCAGGAGATGGAGCCTTCTTCAGATGAGAAATGTGGATCCAGGAGTCTATTCCAGTTTTTGTTTTTTGTTTTTTTGAGATGGAGTCTCATTCTGTCATTCAGGCTGGAGTGCAGTGATGCAATCTCAGCTCACTGCAGCCTGTGCCTCCTGGGTTCAAGTAATTCTCCTGCTTCAGCATCCCCAGTAGCTGGGATTACAGGCAGGTGCCCACCACCACACCCAGCTAATTTTTGTATTTTTAGTAGAGATGGGGTGGTGCCATGCTGCCCAGGATGGTGAACTCCTGAGCTCAGGCAATCCATCCGCCTTGGCCTCCCAAAGTGCTGGAATTACAGTCGTGAGCCACCACACCCAGCCAGGAGTCTATTCCTTCTAATATAATAGCAAAAGGGTTACTAAGAAGCACTTGGTAAGAGCCCTTCCACTTGGTTGGAGAGAGTCCTTTAAAGGATGTTGTTTCCAGTAGATACAATCTCCTGGATGAAAATTGTGGGTCTTGAATTTTTCATATCCCTGGAGCCCACTAGGAAATAATCTTTCACTAGGTAATAATTTTAGTTAATTGTCTCATAAAGTTAGAATAACAAAGGAGTATGTCTCCCCTTACAGTTAAGGAGTTACCATTTCCTGGGACAGATTCATAGGTATGTGAGTTATTATTTCAAATGGGTACAACTGATGTTTTCTAAAGGGGTTGATCTTGGGTTAAACAAAGCCAACTGGCCTTGGGATCTTAAAAATTTGTTATTGGCCGGGCACAGTGGCTCAAGCCTGTAATCCCAGCACTCTGGGAGGCCGAGGCGGGTGGATCACAAGGTCAGGAGTTTGAGACCAGCCTGGCCAATGTGGTGAAACCCCTTCTCTACTAAAAATACAAAAATTAGCTGGGTGTAGTACTGGGCACCTATAGTCCCAGCTACTCGGGAGGCTGAGGCGGGAGAATCGCTTGAACCCGAGAGGCAGAGGTTGCAGTGAGCCAAGATCACGCCACTGTATTCTAGCCTGGTGACAGAGAGAGACTCCATCTCAAAAAAAAAAAAAAAAAAAAAAAAGGCCTTGTGTTATTTTTTGTCAATTTAGTGTTTTCTTTTTGTAAGGACAGGATCTCACTATGTTGCCCAGGCTGGTCTGGAGCTCCCAGGCGCAAGGTCTAGAGCTCCTGGGCTCAAGCCATCTTCCTACCTCGCCCTCCCAAAGTGCTGGGATTACAGATATGAGCCACTGCGCCCAGCCCAGCTGAGTCTTAATTATTCCATATGTATGCCCCACCAATCCAGATAATTGGGAATGATAAACACAATTAAAGTGCTGGAGGATGGACCAAATTCTACATACTGACTGAATTCTGTCCAATAAAATGAGTACCTCAGTCTCTATTGAGTTCTAGAGGAACTCCCTGAGTTGGAATAGTCTTTTCTATAAGAATTTTACTTACTGCTGGCTGGGCACGGTGGCTCAAGCCTGTAATCCCAGCACTTTGGGAGGCCGAGGCGGGTGGATCATGAGGTCAGGAGATCGAGACCATCCCTGGCTAACATGGTGAAACCCCGTCTCTACTAAAAATACAAAAAACTAGCTGGGCGTGGTGGCGGGCGCCTGTAGTCCCAGCTACTCAGAAGGGTGGCAGGAGAATGGCGTGAACCCAGG